TGATATAAAGTGGTAGCGATGGTTAAGAAAGCTGTGAGGGCTATGAGAAGTAAGATGGCAAAGGATACCTCTAGCCCTAGAGCCAGAGGTGTAACGGGAAAAGCGTTTGAGAACCAAGACATAACGAAGATAGGAAAATAATAAAACGGTCTTTACAGGAGGAGGAACTCCTAAGTCTCAATACCAATGCAGTATATGACACTGTTCCACTTCCGAAGGGAGTAAAACCCATCACATCAAAACCTGTGTTCCGGATCAAGTTTGATCAAAATGGAAACATTGAGAGATACAAACTCCGGATTGTTGCACGAGGTTTACTCAAAGGGAGGGGATTGATTACCAGGAGGTTTTTGCTCCGGTTGCAAACTTAGAGTCAATCCGAATTATTCTAGCCCTGGCAGCAAAGTACGACCTAGAACTTGATCAAATGGACGTATCCACAGCTTATCTCAATGGAGAACTTGAAGAAGAACTGTACATGCTTCCTCCAGGGGGTGTTCCTATCCAACCTGGGTACTGCTGGAGATTGAAGAAATCCATCTACGGGTTAAAACAAGCTGGTCGTACATGGAACAAAACTTTTGATCACAAGCTCCAGGAGCTTGGTTTCACAAGACTAAATGCAGAGACATGTCTCTATGTATTCTGGGACAACAAACAAATATGCTTTGTTGTTGTCTATGTAGATGACCTCCTCCTAGGAGCTTCATCCCAAAAATTCATGGATATCACAAAAGCCAAACTCGAATCCATATTCAAAATGCGGGACCTTGGAGAAGCAAAATACATCCTCGGAATAAAAATCCAACGTGATCGTTCAAACAAAACAATATCCCTATTGCAATGCCAATACATTGACACAGTCCTGGAGCATACTGGAATGAAGAACTGCAAACCAGTATGGACACCAATGGCCCATGGATCAAAACTCCTTGCAAATGCTCCAGGAGAAGATATTGTGCAACACGAGATGCATATTGAAGGGCGCCAAGTGTCATACCTCTCAATTGTAGGCTCCCTCATGTATGCCATGCTCGGAACCCGCCCAGACATTGCCTACATTGTTGGAATACTAAGCAGGCATAGCTCAGCTCCAAGGAGCCATCACTGGGAATCTGCAAAATGTGTCCTCCGATATCTGAAAGCAACCAGGGACATAGAACTACAATATGATGGCACAGATGTCTCCATGGACATGGATTTCTATGGATATTCAGATGCAGATTGGTCTGGAGACCCAGACACGTCTCAATCAACATCAGGCTTTGTTTTTATCACCATCCGAGGAGCAATCTCCTGGACAAGCAAAAGACAAAGCATGGTAGATTTATCCTCCACGGAGTCAGAGTACATTGGATTGAACAATGCTGGACAACACCTTGCATGGCTTCGGACATTTTTTGAAGAAATTGGACATGCTCAAAATGGACCTACAACATTGCACTGTGACAATCAAGCAGCTATCATTCTTACACGAGATCCGCAGTTCCGTGCTCGCACAAAACATATTCAACGCAAATATCATTTCATCCGAGATGACTTAGTATCAAAGGGAGAGGCAGTAATCAGATACGTTCCTACAGGAGATATGGTTGCAGACATTCTCACTAAACCCCTCACTCACGAAAAACACTGGAAATTCTCTAAAGCTATGGGACTACGGTTGCACTCAAGTGGGAGTGACAAAACCGGATAAACCCGGTCTCTGCCAAAGCAGCCATTGTTCTCCATGGAGCATAGCCACCACTCCATGGAGTAACCATTGTTCTCCTAGGAGCACTATTGTACTCCTAGGAGTCATTACACTGTAGCAAGTAGCACCTCCGACTATAAGTAGTAGGGGGTTTAGTATAGGAATACCTCAGTTGTTTCTATAGCCTCTCGGGCAGCGGCTGAGGTATGTTACATTACATTTATTAGAGATCACCTTAAACTAACATGTATTGTAGTTTCACTTAGTTTTATTAGTGGATATATATACAACCTGTAGGCAAAACTTGTATGTTCAGTTCATTTTAACGTTCAACATTAACAAACTTGTGGTAGTGCTGCCGCTCCATGTGACAATACCATTTTTGGAAGGCATGCCATGGATGTTGCATTTGTTTGGCTGCTTGATGGGAAGAGATTCCCGTACGACGGTTACTTGGGCGCATTTGGAAGCAGACCATTGAAAGGAGGAACAACTGTCTTCCTCCTAAATGGTATGCCTAGGGGAGATTAAGTAGAGTGTTACTTTCACGAAAGTCATGCACATGGAAGAAACTCACTCAATAGTTCAGGATTTTATGCTAGGAAAGTTAGAGTAAGTGGTAAAAATACACGGAACTGCTATGGATTAAGTTGTTGAGGAAAAATGACAGTGGAATGTATGTTTTCAGAAATGTCCAAATAGCCCCCCCCCATCCGAAGTGACGGTTAACAACAGTATTTGTAGATTTTTCACAAGCCAGGGCTTCCCACGCTTCAAGTCATCTTATTGCCGCATCATGATCACACAGCAGTATCTTGTTGAACATCATCTCCAACGTGTAAGTTAATGCACACAGTTGTTTATTTCTTCTTCATCATGGTCTTTTTCACTGCACCCAAAAGTATGTTCACTCGTGTGTGCCACTTACCAAAAATTTAAATCCTTCAATTCATTATTAACTTAGGTAGGTGATCTTAGTATAATAATATTCATTATAGATTTCCAATTAAACTGGCAGAACAACACTTGGACTTGCCTTCGCTGTCCAGATGCTCCCCAAAACCAACCTCTCTTCAATGCCCTTTGCCACAAGTCCTCTTGCATACACAAAAATGAGGTCATAAGTTATGCCACTGAATTGCATGCTGCACAGATGGCCGCTATCAGAGACAAAAATGAACATCAGGGAGCTTTCAATAGTCTCACACAAGGCAACTCTGGCCTTGATGCCTTCCTTGAAGCGGCAGGACTATTTGTCCCACAGCAGCAATCCCTCACTTATACTACTCAGTGTTACGATTTCTATTGGACATTTAAGGACTACTCATTTCTCTTTACTCATCGGTTATACCATCGGACCAATGACTCATTTCCTTCATATACACTCCCGTTCTTCTCACATTTGTATTACCTATTATAGTACTTAGTCCTCAACAGACGGACCTGCCCTAGATAGGACCTAACTCCTATCACCGACTCTTTCCATTATAAATACACATGTAACAGTAGTAGTATTCTCTAATACAATTCTATGCAGTTTACGCTTACAAAGCTAGACTCCTAAGATCAGACTTCTACTCAGAAGAAGACCAACTCTCGTTGGAAGAACTCAACTCAGAACTACATTCTCAAACTTGTCTTCGGATAAGTCTCCCTTAAAAACCTCAACGAACCCTCAGACTTTGTTAAGCACTTTGTGCATAACACTCAGCCCTCTGGTCACCACCACCCCACTTTTTCTGCATCAGTTCATCTGCCCACTCCAATGGATATTGAATATAATAGACCTGACTATGCTGGTCATGACTTTGATCAACCACAAGTTCCAGTAGAGGAGCAGCTGAGGCATGCAGCTCAACAAGCTGTAGAGGCTGTCATTGATCATGGGTTTGATGCGGATAACTTAGAAGTGGACAGTGACAATAATGAGGGTGATGTAGAGTGTTCAGATGAGGATGAAGTGTATGGTAACATAAGTGATAAGTACTTTTGGCATGTTATATGTGTATTTTAATTTGCAATTTCAGCAGCAACATCTTGTTGGCATGGAGTTTCACACAATGCAGAAGGTCCATGGTGTCCATAGAGTGATTATCTTGTTTGCATCTCTATTTCATTCTCCTGTACACTTAACATTATATATCAAATTTACCTTGGTCACACATACTATATGATCAGACTTAAGTCTCTTGTAAAATTGGTACTCAAATTTCTTTTGATATCCGTCAAATAATGTAACTAAATCATTTGTCTAGCATTTTTCTAATCCCATGACACACTTTGTCCTTGAAATCTATCTGGAACATAGTGGAACAGTATTGAATGAAATCCACCAAGCCCACTGTTGGCTATATGAACTCCATTCCAACTTAACAACTCCTATGTATCATATAGGATCACAGGATTTCTATATTCATGAGCCAGCACTTTTGAATGACAACACTATTTGTATGCCATATAGGTTTTTCAAGGCAAATAGATATGTGTGGTTTTGAGCATGGAGAGTAGTTCCATGTGGCGAAGGATGGCTTATTGAACAAGGATAAGAATTGACTATGTCCGAGGACATGCTAGCCATGTGTTTTGAAGGGTTAAAGAATGCTTATTTTGGGCCAAACATGCCTCACTTTGATGCACCATTTACTAAAGTTGTACTTTTTTTTACACGTTACATGTACTAACTGCTATTTTATGAAGGTTTTTGGCCTCCCGATCTCTTGGGACATGTTCAGCAGTGAACCCAGTCCCTTTTCAATCCATGCACTGTCCAATGGACACCTTGTTGGTTTATAATCAGCCCAAGTTCCACATTGTCATACACATCATTGATCATGTACAGCACTTTGGACTAGCCACATTATTCACTACTGAAGTACAAGAATCATTTAATAGCATTATTTGTGGCTGGTTGGTCAATTCAAATCGGCAAGCACCATCCCAAAACATTGCTAGACGTGCTGCAGGACTTCTATCTTTGTGCCACTTTGTATCTGGTGGATACTTTAAAGTCAAACATGAAGAGTTTGTTGGTGATAAAAATTGGGAATGGATTTGTGCTGGCCATTCAGCTCTTGCACTGGTCACATCTTTGCCATTAATATCTTGGAGACTTGGATTTGTAGTGCCCCCACATATGCTACCTGGTTTTTCAATTAAGTTCTTGCATATGTATCCGCTAAAGCTTATAAAATGCATGTTATGCATGGTTACTGTCTATAGCAAGCCTGATATCTGCTGGACAGAGACTGACACATTCTAGTACCTCAATATATTTGATGACACTTTACTTGTGTGCCACTACTGCAACATCATTGCAATGAACAATAACTACATAGAAATAGATGAGTTTATAGTCTTTTGTAAACAGAGGCAATTGCATATTGGCAAGGTGGTCAAGATCCTGCTACCTGCACAAAAATGGATTAAAAGAAAAGCAGAGTGGATTCTTGTTTAAGAGCATTATATTGGCAAGCTAGTTTGCCCATATTGGATGCCATCTTTGCATGCTACCAAACATTACTGTTTGATCAAGCCCACAGTTTGTTATTCAGAAATCATCATTCAATTGTGTAATACTAATTTTTGTAGGACATTCTCTGTAGCACAAATGTACAGCATAACTGTGCTGCTGGGGGATGCAATCTTTCTTCTTTCTGCCATATATACCTTGAATGAGAATGCCAAGATGAATAAAAATCTGCAGTCTGACACTTCAATAGTCAATTACTAGTTCTCAATGTGTCTAAGATGTGGGATGCAAAGTACATCTAACAATTTACCATTTCCCCTCCCCCCCACTTCATATAGATAATATTGTTCAGGTAGCACGCAAGCTGGAGCTAGAGGCAGGATGGTGGCAGAACGGTATTAAAGAGAATTTGGACTTAGCATTTTTTTTACAACACCTGCCACACCATGTATGTGTCACCCCAGCTGTGATAGCTGCCACGTCAGGCTTCACCTTGTTGTTAATCCCAATCCACAAACATCCACAGAAGATTCTGTGTGCTTGACTCAACATGGACGTTAGAAAATTGATGAGCCCTTATTTTCCACAAGAAAATACTGCTCAAAGATCCCAGCCTCACTTTTTTTACCTGCATAACTCTGCTTCAACTCCTTCCAGAGGACAAAATTGTACTCTGGCAGGCCCCATTGTGAATAATAGTAGTAATGCTGGTGGAGTGCATATTAACTACAACCTACAGAGTATCTCCCTTGAGCACAGGAGTCTACTGAGGAGGGCTTCTGCACATCAGTCATTACCATTAGCTGGCAACAAGTGCACTAGGTTAGAGGATGATGAATTTAGTGATTTCAGGGAGGAGGATCCTACAGAATCTGTACTGTCCAAGCCACTACATCAAGCTGCTACAAGAACATATGCTACCTTGGCTTTGGTCCATGCTCTTGCTCTTCTTACAGATCAATACAAGCTTGACAGTAATCACGAAAAGGATCTACTCTCATTTTAAAAGGTAAAAACATTTTATCTACATTTTTAAAACAATTCTAGGCAGAATCTGGATTGCCGTTGTCTCACCAGCTAACAGGTATGATTTTATTTGCCTGTGAAACACGTATTCTGCAGCTACGTGAAAACCATGACAAAATTCTCACATCACTTTCAGCTGAAGTAGCCACCCTCCGCAGTCTTGTTAAAGCTCAGTGGTGCATCTTGGACTCCTTTTGTGTAAGTTCTATATCTTGTTACCAGATCACTATATTTGTTATTTATTATTTATTTCCCAGAGCCATTTTTATAGCATAGCGAGCAATCTCATGAATGAGGGTAACCACACTAACTTTGTCCTTGTGTATCAAGACATTGTGGTAAATCTTTTTATTTTTATTTTTTTATACACTCACTCACTATCTTCTGAGTAGAAGTGTGTTGCACAACAGACCACTGAGCTTGGGATTGAAGATCAGTGGAAAAAAGAAAAGACAAGAAGCTGATTACAAGTGCAATACACACATTATGCAATCAAGTACAAGAGATGGCTTGGAGATTTGTTTGTTTTTATCTTACATAGTTGTGATTTATCAACTGATGAAATCTGAAATATAGATTCATAGCTTGGTGGCTGGCTCATCAAACTTAACTCTCAAAAATCACATTGTTGAGTGGCTACAGAAACACAGCTTAAAGTCAATTGAATAATTGAATATCCCTTGTCACCACTTTTGATAGCTTTACACGTTCAAATCATAAGTGTTACTCTTTTATGCATATTATCCTATTTTGTTGTTGCTAAATATTATCATTTTTAGCGTGATTTTTCTTTCTCAAATACTAACATACTCAGCCGAGAGGAAATACCTGATAGCAATGAGTCTCTTGAGAATGACAATATAAGGTCTTCCACTCCTACTGCAAGTGTATCAGCTTCTACAAGCACCAGAGGCCAAAATGTATCAGCCACAAAATCCAGCAGTGGCAAGCCTACCTTCTGGAAGTCGTTAAAAAATCATTTTCAACAGAAGAAGGACTTTTTTGCAAATGACAAGGAAGGCTTTCAACGGTAACATTTTCCTGTACTACCTGACTATCTACCGCTCAAAATTTTCTCTTGTTTAGATATATTGCAGGACTTGTAGAGAACAACAATATTCAGTTTGATGCCAATGCTAGCAGATTTCAAGCAAGTGACTTGTTGCGCTCTTCTCAGGCAGTGGGAGGCACCGTGTCAAGTCTGTCAATCCGCCAAAGGGGGTTCAACAATTTTCTGGACCAGGTTTTGTAGATGTTGTGCTCACATGAAGTTCACTATGTCATGACAGGATTGATGATACATTCATTTTAACTGCTAGTAGTACACTCATTCTCATCTTTGGATTTTATTTTACTTACAACCTGTTGCTATCTGGGCAATAGTAAGAAATTTAATGTTTTTGTGCGTTTTATTCTGGTTGTTCCACATATGAATTCAAAACAGACTACAATTGAAACTACAGTCTGATTACAGACTTGGCTTGTAGCCCACTGCTGTTTTGACTTGTAGTCTGTTTACAGTCTCAGCCTGTAGTCTGTTTGAGTTTCTCCTTTTATAGTCTGACTGCAGTGTTGACTGTGGTAAAACTATGATATTACTATGGACTTATTACACTCTAGACTGCTCGCGCCCATCAGGAAATGCTCTGGCAGTGTACACGTCCAGAGGACTATTGAGGTGAAATGTACAATCCAAATAATGCTTTGCTACTCTGCTAGGGCGCAGTCCCACTGTAGCAGTGTCTGCAGGCAGGATACCGGTCCACAGCTTACAAGCTGCTAAGTAGCTGTTTGTGGTTATATTATTTATTGGCTTTGCTTTGACGTGCCTGAGGGTTCATCTTATAAGAATCTCAAAAGCTTCACTCATAGTTTGATCAGATTGTAGACATAAGTGATATTCATCAAAATAAAATGGCATCCTGACAATGTCTATAAGAGTAAGCTATGAAGATTGAAATCACCACTCTGCAACATCAAGAAGGCTGGCCAGTGTGTCATTGGCAGGCTTCACTGTAGCCATATTGCTGGTGCTGACAGCCGCTGCAGGAGTTTTCAAGGTACCTTTAAAGGTTGGGTCAAAGTACCTGTTGTCCCACTCAATTAGTTGTTGAATATATTTGTGGTATCAATAATGAGAGATATATCTTTCAACTGGAATATTAGTGCACTTACATCTTGTAACCAGTGGGATTGCGCCCATATTTCTTCCATTTTTTACTAACATACTTCTCAAGGCCATGAAAAAATGTGTCATCACCTGTTTCTGCTTGATCATGAGGCCTTCTCTCCGCATTGTCCCTTGATGCCACAGAGGCCCTACCCCCCCATCCTCCGCCATGTCCTCTCCTTGTAGTGCCTCTTCTGGCCTCCACTACTTGGGCTACTTCAGTATCAGATATATCAGCCTCTTCCCGCAATTTGGACTCTTGCTCACTATCAACCTCTGACTCAGAGAGATCCAAATTTTGGCCTTTTTTCTTCATAGTCCTTACACTGTAAGATTGCTGAAACCATAATTAGCAATTTCTGAAGATTTATGTAAATATACTTACAAACAGAGCACATTGAGCCAGAATATTGTGTGGAATAGGGAGCACAACACCATTTTCTCTATATTTTTTGAGTGTCTGGATGCCAAATGTAGAAAATGAAACTCAGGTGGGCCCTCCAGGAAGAAGTGAGTTGAGAATCTGAAAAAAAAAAATCAGTATGGAATAAAAACAAAAATAAAATAAAAACAACTTGCATGATGTCAAAAGTTTTCACAAGCCTGATTGAATTGTTTTTTGATGAGTGACTCAATTGCAGACTTATGTGGGCCAAGTGCCTTGCTAATTCCTAGTTGAGTAGCTTGCTGTTGTATAATGTCCTGTAGTGCCAGGTTAGCACTGAAACAAGAGAAAACAACAGAAACATTATCTTACCCATACATCTAGATACATGGAAGTAAATTGATGGTGTCTAGGCTCAATCATAACATCCTTTTCAATATTAAGAATAGCTGTTTTTATGTATGTCAGCGTAACAGCAAAGCCTAAAAAGCTTGGACTTACCTGAAGCTCTTCATCTGGTGCCCACCATTTTTTTAGTGAGTCCACTAATAGTTGTAAGCTGCTTGGAGAATTTCTCAACCCTCTCACTAAGACTAGTAATTTGCTGCTGAGTTTGCAGAAGAATAGCCAACTGTAATAGGCCTGTCATTGCATTGTTACGTTTTGATCCAGTTGCACTATACTAATTAAAATCCCACGTCAGTAGCAAATAGAGAACAAACTACTGCACTTTGTGCTGGCCCTGCTGGTGTATTGACAATGGGGCTTTTAACGTAAGCAAGTGCCGCTGGATTTTGTAGGCAGCGGGGGGTCTCTGGGCTGGAACAGCTCTCAGAATATTCACTTTGACTATGTGACCAAACTTGTTTCCTCTTCTGTGATCCCCAGATGGGTTCATCAGCTTCAGATTCAGCATCTGAACCACAACCTCTTCCATAGCTATTACTCTAAATCTCATAAATAACATCGTTGATGTTCCGGATGTTGTCATGTAATCCTGTAATGGTGTTCATTGACTGGTTAGGATTACTGGAACCGTTAAAAGGATGGTGAAGTCCCCGTGATGCAGAATCAACTTGGCTTGAAGGATTCCTAAGATGAGAGTAATACTCATAAGAAGGTGGTGCATCTGAAGCAGATGGGTTTATCACATTGTGGAGGTCCATTGTTGATACAACGTTGATGGTGACTGCACAGGAGGTTGATGAGTTGGCAAACACGCACCAGTGATGCTCATCACAAGCGTCACACACCACACAATGCAAAAATGTTCTAATTCCATACATGAGCATAAAAAGACAATAGATTTACAGGGTAAGTTCCAATATACATGGTTCAGTGATTAGTGCATCTTCATTTAAGATAGTGTTAGAATATACTCTGACATACCAATACTCCATAGGATAATACCTCTGATTTGTAAGCCAGCCCAGTATGCAGCAGCTATTCTGTGTAAGACGTCCGTGGTTGCATGTCATGTTTAAGATCCTACATTGTATAACCTTGGCCATATAGCTCAATTGGTAGAGCAGCTGGCATGTATCCAGAAGGTTCCAGGTTCAATCCCTGGTCTGGTTATTATCCAATTTTATCAGATAGGGGGGGACAGGACAAATAATTGGATTATATTTGAGTCTCACATTTTGGCAATATTGAGGATTAAGTTGTCAGGATTTATGTGTTGAACCGCAGGAGCATCTTTAGGCTGTTTTTCTCTTTCCAGATACTGTGGTTGAGCTGCAGAAATTGTACATTTGTTTGAGGAACAGTTATGCTGGATATTAATGCTGCAAAAGATATCTTCTGGATGCACGAGGAAATGAGCTTTTGTGGCCATGATCTTTTACCAACTATATCTCTGTTGTTGATGACAATGCTCTTGCAAGTTTGATAATAAGTTGTATTGAATGGTGCCACAAAATGTGCAGATGACTTTGTGTTTGGCCAGATACATGGTGATGTGGTTGACACAATACAATGGCCTGTGATGGCTGGCAGCTTCATATGAAGCCCAAGTTGCAAGGCAATAACAGGTGAATTGTTATATACTTGTTGTGCAAAATCTCCTGCAGTTGTCTATTTTGCATGTACACAGCCATCAGGTTCCTCTACTTCTGCCTAAAAGAACCTTCCGGTAATGAGATGGTGCTTGTTGATTTGAATTGATACACCAGCCATGAATGACATTGTTGAATGATTCCAACCCTTTGGTAGCAAAAGTGATTGCAGGACCATACTGTCGAATGTGGCTGATTAAATGTAACAACCAAGAGTTTCTTACTCTGGCGCACAACTCAGACAAGCAAAGAGAGAAGAGAAAAAGAAGGGATCACCCCTTAGGTTTCAACAAGTTTGTTGTGCTAGACAACTGGAGGACTCGCTGAGTCCTTCCCCATGTATGCTCCAGTATATATACCAAAATACATGAGGTACTGTACAGTTGTAAATAAAGTTTAAAGTCCGATGTCTAGCATGTGACTGGTCATGTGATTATAAAAAGTCGAAAATGTAAAGTAAAGTAAATGGTCACATGACTGGTTATGTGACTTGGAAAATGAAAAGTAAAAGTACAAAAAAAGTGAAGCGTAAGTAGGTACTGGTACGTCAATTGTAACATTAAATGGAGAATGAGATAGAATTTTGGTTTATTAAACCACCGAAGGGTCCAATTTGCAATGTAAACAAGGAAGTAATGGATTCTTTTCTCTAGGTGATCCAAGTAGTCGTCAATATCATTTATATCTGGTTGCCAGACCAGAGGAACCAGAACAAAGAATACAGCCCAAGCTTCAAGGATTACTTCCGGAAGAAGGTCGTAGAATACAAACACAGCAACCTGATTAATGACCCGGAAATCACATCCAACAAGAGAGCCTGCATATTGTACCAATGTATGGCCTTGAATTATTGTTATTGATGGGTCAAGCCCCAACACATCAATGCTGGGAAGGGGAGCTTTGAATTTGTCTTTATCTGACTCAGGTGTTTGTTCAATGGCATCACACCAAAAGTATTTGATAAAACCTAGTAAAACAATGTGGAGGATTTCAACTGGTGTATCCATGTGTGGATTCAAGTCTGAATGTTTTTGAATCAAATCAGAGGTTTTGAATTTACCAAACTATTAACTTACTTTGAACGCGCCAGATGGGATTATATAGGTTTGCTAGCATATCAGACAAAATGTGTTGTATTGCATTCTCTGCACCTGACCCTTGTAGATGTTTCTTTGCCTTCTGTATTTTGTCAAAGAAGAATTGAAGAAAAATATCTTTTACTCCTGTAGATCTGCAAATACCCTGGCTTTGATTGTGTGGTAGGTCAAATGCATAGTTCTCCAGAATGTCTCTGGATGACTGCCAAGTTTCTAGTGGATCCCTTGGTCATCTGCTCTATATAAAAATCAGATATTGGTTTATTAAATAGAAATGCGACAAACTTTCATGAAGCTCTTGACCCAGCCAATAGTGTGAGGAATCAATTTTTCTTATTGCATTCCCATCATGTTGTGGTTATCCGATTCATTCCCTGTCACTCCTCTCGCTCTTGGACTAGAGATCATAGACGGCATTTATAATGTTCTCACTGTTCCGAACCAACAGAGTGATAACGTCAATCTACTAGCAGGTAGTTGAACTTGGTTTATTTAGAAGAAATCGAAAGCTAAGGTATGTACACTGGAGACTACCTACTTATATATGTAAAGACATGTGTCAGCCTTGAGGTGCTGACTGAGAAACATGAGGATAAGGTGAGGATGATGAGTAATGTAGTCGTGTGACTTAGGGTCACATGATGAGATAAGATAAATACTATCATGTGATTAGATATGGTGATGTCAGTGTTTCTACATTGGAATTAGATAGATAGGATAAGGAGTTAGCTTGCAGAGTCTGAGATCGTGACAGCATTCTATTACTCTTATCCTTTTTCTTCTTATTTTCCATTCATACTCACGTCCTATCGTACTTACTGATAAAATTGGATAATAACCAGACCAGGGATTGAACCTGGAACCTTCTGGATACATGCCAGCTGCTCTACCAAATGAGCTATATGGCCAAGATTATACAATATAGGATCTTAAACATGACGTGCAACCACGGACGTCTTACACAGTATAGCTGCTGCATACTGTATTGGCTTACAAATCAGAGGTATTATCCTATGGGGTATTGGTATGTCAGAGTATATTTTAACACTTACAATGAAGAAGAACGGTTGTAGACCCTTGAGAAGATATCCAGATGACATAGCAATGATCCAATGCTATGTCTGGGAATACTTCAAAGGAATATTGATAAGCAAGACAGGCTCTGAATCAGCGCCTTCTCATGGGCTTACTGATACAGCCAATTGTACACCTCTTACCAATACTCTCTCTCACACGATAAGTAAATACGATAGATCGGACCACTTTCTCTCTCTTTTCTTATTGGTTAGTTGGTTGGCCAGACCACTTTCTTAACTCTTCCCTCTTTTGGTCTGACCATTGCTGTTCACTATATAAGGAAGTACATACTTGATGTATTATTCCTTAGTTCAATATTAGTTTGGATTTGCGCTTATACCGATACTCTTCAATCTCAATACTCTGATCCACCACCCTCTTCAGGGACTTGGCCAGACATTTGTTGTTGTTATATAGCTTTGTATTTGTTTCCTAACAGACAGCACCTGGCAAGTCTTGGATGTCACCCCTTGCTGAAACCCAGCAACGACAACAAAAAAAATGAGAACGCAAGCCAGCATGGCATGCAAATTCACTTTGCATCGGATTATCCCCAAGGAGGGCTAGGATAAAGACAAGAACTAAAACAAGCTCTTTGTACACACAATCAAACACCCATATGCCATGTATCTGGCATTCTCTAAATCTGTATAAATACAATGTGTGTACATAGACGTAGAAATCATAGTACATACTCAAACTCCTGTATAACACCATCAAACATTTCCATAGAGGCCGCTGTCATGCACCAAAGTTGATTGGTAGCATGGACAGGTGTAAAAAATGAAGTGAATATTCAAAAGACTTGCCTTTGCACCACACAAGCACAGTGCC